GAATATTTCAATCTTTGAGGAGCAATTACTCAAGCCCTTTGAAAAACAACTGAGGAAATGCTCAAAATTATAATGAGTAGAAATAGCCTAAGCTCTAAGAAGTTTATTTTTGTCTCATCCACATGTTCCCTCTCATGTTTAAATCCCTAGAAAGGCAGACATTCAAAATGGATCGCTGAGGTTTCTGCAGAGCCCACAGTTTAATTCATCTCTCTCCAGCAGGCATCTCACGCCAGTGGTGTTTTGTTACCGATCCTTGGGAAATTGTAGCAGCTATTGCAGAGTGTTATTAACTTGGACACTGCTGGAAGCCTGGACATTCACAATACCCTTACATCTCCACGGTCGCACAGGAGAGCTGTGCTCTGAAAAAAAATAAAGGGCACTTGCAAAAGTATTACTTTCTACGATTGAATAAACTATAATAAAACTACAACAGCAAGTCTGTTTCATAAATGAAAGTCTGTATGCCCCAAGCTTACACAACGTTAGATGTGTGCTACACCGTGTGCCTTGTAGCGATAACAAGTATGACTCTATATCAGTTTTTTCTGCTTTATTTGGAGTCTCGTAGTTCTTATGTCCTTCCTTTGAAAGTCGCAGGAACACATCACAATCCAAGCTTTGATTTTTAGAGGATGAAGTTTATAAGGCTGAAATCCAAAGACTGCACCCTGAAGAACTGTGGGGAAAAATATCTAATCCCTCCCTTTGGATTTCAAAGCCCCATTGTTACAATTCGGCCCTATTTAAACTTAAAAGTATTCTCTATATGCAGGAAGATGTAACCTGAAGCCATAGGAGTTCTGCTTCTAGTGCTTTCAGGTACAGCTTTCTGTATCACCTTTGCAGGCCAAAATTGGCCCTTAAGGCAGTCTATTACATCTACCCACCAACAGAGATTTTGATTAACTCCCTGGAAGTCCACGCTGTCTCCATTAACAGTAAGGACTTGTCTTTTTGGTCTTGCCATCTAGGCACGAGCACAGGTCTCTGCCAGTTACCCAGCTATCCTTGCCTTGTTCCGCGTTTTGCCCTAACGCTTCCACAGCACTCTTTGCTGCTCCCAAGCTGCACAGATGTTTCACATCTTCAGACTGAAACGCTTTGGTCATAGTGGCTTTTGCCCCTGAAGGACAATTATCCATACCAGCAGTTCCCAAACTGTGCTTTGCAAAGCCACGGTGATAGCTCCTTAGCACCAGGCTGCTTTAAAGTTTAAACTGTAAACTTGAGAGAAAATTGAGGATTAAGGTAGTTGCCTGCAGTCCAAAACGTTTGGGAACAAAAAGAGCTTAAAAAATGAGCTCATCATTCTTTTACATCAGTCTCTCCACCCCTCTTGCTTGACCACCACACCTGCAAAGTGAAGTTACAGTCCACTACAATCCCTTCATTCTCCCAAGTGATGCGATACCACTCACCCGTAAAACACCATGAACAGAGCAACTAGTTACCCAAAGTTGACAGTAGCAGCCAAGGTACGAACAGCTACCAATTGGTCCTGTGTCCACCGCAGAGCTGTGCCAGACACTCTCGCATCATGCTGGGAACGTGTCCAGGGCAAGCTGGGTAAAGTCACCCAACACTCCAGCCTCTTCATTTAGTTAGATGCCTTTGTTCAGGCTGCTGGAAACATTATGTCTCAGCTACATGGTTAAAAATAAACTTTTTCATCATCAACTCCTTGTTCACTAGAGAAAAAACATTCCAGAAAAGCCAATACAGTCTCTGTGCTACCTTCCTGCCAGCCCTTCGCTGCTGTTATCACCAACTCTGTCAGTAACCAGGTGCAGCTCCACTTGACCACCATCCTTCCCACAGGCAGCCCACTGCCCATGCTTGCCTATAAAGTTTGGAACTAAAGCTGTTTGACCAGTGTTTCCAGTATTTGCAGTTTTCATATCCTTCCTGCTCTTTCTTGGCCTCAAAAAGTAATCTGCCTTTAGCAGACAGACGTTTAGTGAGAAGTTTAAGGTTCTCAGTAGACAGCCAGCAGGCTCATTGTACGGTCAGGTTGTACAACAATTTATATTTTCACTCAACTTTCCAAAATAAGTCTTTATTCTTTAAAAGAGGAACAATTTTTCTGGCAAGCTTGAATGAAAAGCTTCCTTCCAACAGGGCTAGGAGAATCACAAAAAAGTCAGCTTACTCTTCCCACATGTGTTATCATCAGCTCTCTCACTGAAGAGCTGTGAAGTCTGGTGAGCTGAAGTAGGTCTTGGTCCAATGCTCTGATTTCTTGAGTACTGTAGCATTTCAGTGAACTCTGACTTTGGGTGAATAATGCTGTCTTGCTTGAAATTGCACCCTGTGGATGCAAGACCATCTTCTGCTAATCTTTTGTTGAGTTTGGTAAGATTTGCAGCAAGGCCAGGCCACTGGAAACACAGTCCAGCGAGTCTGTCCTCTTTAAAGTAGAAAGGGAAGGAAGGACGAATTTGCAAAATCACACTCTCATTCATTACTTTGGAACAAGCGATACATAAGCCAAAAACTTCTTTTCATCTTTTGCCTTGAAAGAGCTTGCAGTTAAGAAAGCGTTTCTCCCTGATGGATCTCAAAGCTTGGAAAGGAGATTTCAGTAGTTATCTAGCCTGGCTATATCTCAAATAGGAAAAAGAGCTGCTTTGTTTTCTCTTTCAGGAATCGCAAGACTGACATTTAAAAGAAGCTGCAGTGCACAATTAGCCAAGCACTCAGCTATCAGGATATGCCAAAACTGAGGCTTTGCACTTGACCTCCACTCCACATTCCTCACCTCTGGGAACCAGCATTACAATGCTATTTACATAATCACAGTATTTCCCTAATACAACTGTATGCTTTCCCCCATGCGCCATCAGGTTGTGTCTATATTAGATAGGGAAGTAAAGGTCATGTCAAGGACATACCTGGATTCACCAATAATAGAAGGGGGGGAGGAATCTGAATTCTGGAGGATGGAGAGGATTAATTCTCACTGTCTCATTTTTCTTTAAAAAAAAAAAACCCACAGTGAAAACAAACAAAACAAGTAAACCCTTAAATTATAGCCAGTAATTGGAAGAGAACACTTGTTTATCTGACTTCTGGTGGCACTGAAAATTGAATCAAAATTATTTAGTGGATATATTTTGTCTGTCTCAAGGACTATTACAAAAATAACGCATATGCAGGTTGCTCTCCATCTGCACAAAATATTACTAAAATGTAATCTGACAAGCAGATTTTTCCTAATGCTACTAGCTCACAGTAAAAAAATCTCAGTTTTCAGTGAGTCCAT